TAATATTTAATCCTAAACAACTTATAAGTTAATCATGAAATATTATTACATCATAAACTGTTATAATAATAAAGAAATTCTGTCACGTCACAGAGTAGAAAAGGAGAAGACTGGTGCTGCCATCTATTGGCGTGGTACCCTCAGTGTGGGCGCATACCGGTTTTAAAATCATATAAATAATATGCTGTTAATTATCACTTCTGACTGAAATGAAGTAAATATATAAGATTCAGCATGTGTACGTCATATATTTGCAGATTTTGAATTTTTTCTTTCCCTCCAATAGAATTTATCAATCTTCCAACATGATACCTTGGAACGATATATTTAATTTCATAACTGTAAAAATACTTGAGCATTCATAGGGTGATGTTGCCATTTAGAATTGAAAGAAAATACTAGACACTTACGATTATAGCTTTTGGTGTAGAAAAATTAGCATTTTTTCGGAGGTTTAAAAATTGACAAACAACCGGTATATATTATATACCGGTGCCTTTCAAAGGGTTAAAATATGCGAGTGCTTCATATTTTTAACCTACATGTACCAAAACCTTAGGAAATAAATTTAGCTAAGTATTTAAGTTCGCCTAATTTAAGAACACTGAAATGTGTTTATTAGGATAGTCTTGGAAGACACTATTCTTGAAGCCATTTACTTTTATGAGGCTTGAATAAGAAAACGAAAAATATTAACAGAATTATAAAGATAGTTGCAACAATTACAATTTAAAAAATTAAAAATGGTAAAAAATTTGCTGCTTAATTTTATTATGAATAATGTTGAATTTTCAGTCCAGTTTTTAAAAAGGAATTGTCACTTTTCTAGTAATCTATTCAGCAAGAACAACTACAAACGGTTGCTACCACTTTGAAATTGGCACTTCACATAGTTAAAACTTTCTTTGCTGTAAGAAAAGTATAATAAGCTAAAAAAAAAAAAAAAAAAAAAACCCTCTAAATTAAATAATTGCAATTTTAAATAAGAACATAAAATAAGCTAAAAGATTTTTTTAACATAAAGAAAATAAATATTTTAATTAATATATAAAAATATACAGGAAATAATTCAATCACTATTTTTGTTACAGTGCATCAAGAAAATAATAAAACAAAATTCAAGGGTATTTCAAATAGACAATACATACTAGCTAATGCACTTATTTTTACTTTAAATAAAGCTTTTACTTGACACTTAAAAATTGCATTTACAGTGTAATAGATTTGGGGTTAGGTAAAAGAAGTGAGGTCAAAAGGAAAAATATCCGCTCTAAGATTCTTTGTGTTTATGGTCCATAAAACACCCAGTCTGTGTTTTATGGTCCTCGTTAGGGGGTCGTCATTCAGCTTCCTTCAGTATGACAGGTACCTGGTTGAATCTGATTTGAATAAAACTTCTAAACAGGTTTCTCACAGCTGGGGAAAGAAGCACTCTAAGGATAGTTTTAGACACAAAAAGTTTATCTTTGGAGGAGTAAATTGGCATGAAATGTTTGCAAATTTTCAGAACGGTGAACTGGTTAAATCACACAATCAACGAAAAAAATCTGAAAGAGTTTTCAGATTTTACATTACGCCCAAAGCGGCTTTTTTTTTAAATGTTGTGTTACCTGTATTTATTAAATAACATGTTCTTTGCACTTAAACCATAAAATTCCTTTCAACAGCAATATCACAAAATAATTTTAAAATGAACATATATTTAGAATTTCCGATGCGCAGTCTCGCGCACTAGAGATAAATATGTTCCCCCGCAAATACAGTGTTGCCATTCCTCATTTTAAAATCATTGAGTTTCTTAATCAAAAATTCTTTAATGTCTGACAAAATATGAAGTAGATAATAAAACAAGTTCCAAATTAGGGCTTCCAGGTGCCCATATTTACTGGAGGATTATGTTATTAAAAATTTGATGTCTGTATATACCGTTGTTATCACAGTGCGAGAAACATACATGCATTTATGTAGATTCTTCATTATTTAATTTCTTTAAGTATAATACAGGGCTGTAATAGTTGGTAGCAACAGTTTGAAAAGTGGAATCAATGCAGAAAGGGAATCAGTGCAATATGCCAAAATGAAATTAATAACCCTTCTGGGCGTGCTGTGTGGGCTAATAATATAAAAAAGGAAATACATGTTGTCGTTTATATGCACTACAAAAAGGAAATATCAATTTACCATATTTTGAAATTTTTGTGTCTTCAGTCTGTGGCACATAAAATTCCTTAAGAGCAGCCCAAAACTCTAAAATTATCTCAACTAGAATATGCATACTGCCGTCTTCACATAAACTCACAAAAATAAGAGTAAAAAATATCTTCCGTAGTGCCGGACTGTTGGTGGCATTTCTTGCATGAACCTTTCTTGCAACAAACCCATTCAAAGCCATCTGAACAATCTTTATGTTCGACCATACGTATTTCCTTCATACAAACAGATCACTTTTAATGACTAGTAAGTAAACCTTCATTTAAACAAGAGTCAATGAATGCTTTTTTTTTTTTTTCCTTTTGTTCCAAAGCTTATGGAAACTTCACATTAATCTCATCACATACAACCATTTGATGCGGTGTCCAGCACAAAATAAGCCGTGTACTTCCTAGCTGACATCCAATGCAGAAATGAGCCCTTATAAATATTTTCCCATCAATCAAATTCATCGCAATCATGCAACCAGTCACGTCATAAAAGGGTTTCCATAATATTCAACTACTCAGGTTACCATAAATGAAACAACAGCTCGGTGATAATCCAAGGGACACCGTAAAATATAGACTAACCGATATTTTTCAGTCTCTGCAGATCCTAAATTCTAAAATTTTGCCACCCCTTAATTTTGCATCCAGGTGCCTTTCCTAAATTCTAAAAATTTTGTCCCTCCTGATTTCTGCTGCCCGTTGTGGTCGCACCAGGGTGGGCTTAACTGAATAACTTAGCCATTATTTTCAGATCAAACAGCATAATGTGTAATCTTTTGGCTTATGAATATCATTTACAAAATCTGTTTTTTGCATATGGAAAGAAATTTTTCCTCGTAGCACACTTCTTCACAGTGAGTTACAAAATGAAATTAAGTATCGAACTTTCCACATGAAATATAAAATGTATAAGCATATAGCATGAAAAGGGTTTCTTAGAAAGAAAAAAAAAAAAAAAAAAAAAAGGAGGGAAGGGATACTGGTGATCCAGAGCTCCAGATTTTAGATCATTCCAGGTATTAGAAGTCCAGATTTCAGTCTTTGTACTATATATCATATCAGTCTGCAAGGACATTTTTAAAATCTGTTGGATCAGCTTATCTTAATTTTTGTTGGGAATTTTTTTCACTTTTATCATGTTAATACCATTTTTGACAACTTGCATTCGTATTTCTCACTGATGTAATATGCTCTGAAAATTTATCAGTATTATGTTTAATTATGTTGTTATTGTATAACAGAGAAAATGTAACTGTAAATCATTTCAAAATAAGCACATATGACAAAAAAGTCAAATATTTTATCAGAGATGAGTATGTGAAGTTTTGTATTATTCAGCATAAAAATTCATTAGGCTGTAAAAAAATAAATAAAAATTAATTATTCAGGTTATCTACTTTTCTTTAAAGAAAGGAAGATTTTAAAAAATGTTCAGATATTTTGCTTTTCAGACCGAAGGGGCTTTGTATCTGAAGGACTATTGTTTTCATTTTGTGATTTTACGTTGGATCACTATAAATGTCTCTTTCACTTTTCAAACTGTTGCCACCAAATGTTAGAGTCCTGCATTATATTTGAAGAGATTAAATAATAAAAAATCTGCATAAATGCATGTATATTTCTCACATTGTGATAAAACAACGGTACACAGAGCCATCAAATTTTGAATGACATAATCCTACTGCAAATATTGGCATGTGGAAGCCTAAATTTGGAATTTGTTTTATTATCGGTTTCATATTTTGTAAAACTTTAACGAATTTTTGAGTAGCAAACTCAATGATTTGAAAGCGAGCAACGGGAACACTCTAAGGGGGGGGACCTTTTTATCTCCAGCACGTGGAACTGTATAACTGGAAATTCTAAAGATATGCTCATTTTAAATTGTTTTGCAATATGGTTATTAAATTGAATTTTATATTTTAAGTGCAAAGAACATTTAATAAATAAAGGTAACACACAAGGTTAAAAAAATGTCCCTTTGGGCGTAATGTAAAATCTGAAAGATTTCAAATTTTGTTTCTATTTTAAATATTTTTTTATTAACTGTTTTATTAGTTAGGGTAAACTGCTTGTTTGCATGATACATGCTTACTATTAAATATGCTAGTCTGAATGGAAGGTAATGACATCATATCTGTGATGCAAAGTGTCATTGTCAAATTCAGTTATTACTCAGTAAAACAGTCTTTTTGATCTGTAAATTAATGTTCAGATACAAATATGTTTTGGCCACAGGGAACACAATAAATAGTCTTTGGTACTTAAATGGTTAATGATTTCATATTCAGAATTGTGTCCTCATTAACTTTCAGAGAAAACTCAGTAGTCACATCCCTAGTTGCAAATATTTATAGAATTGCTGTGGTTTTGTATGTGTAAATTTGATTCTTATAAAATATTTTTTATTTTTATGAGCAGAACAGTTTTGAGTCATAACCCTCGGATGCCTTGTATGAATGAGGTGACAAATGGCAATTATATAGTAAGTAACTTCTGTGATGTATGGATGATAAGAAAATATAAAAAATGAATCCTAATGAGACTATAATAAAAAATGCAACTTTTTTGGGGGGGGATAAATATTTCCTGCAATCATTTAAAAATGGTCATTTGCTATTCAACATTATTATAAAGCCTTACATTCGTAAAGTGCCAGCTAGCTTACTTTCGTAAAATGTGAGTGTTGGGGCAGTATGAACATCGTTATGTTTCTGTTGCCAGTGTAAAAATTTCAAGAAGCAGTATATTTTCCTATATTTGAACTTATGTGACATTAACTCATATTTTATTTTTCAGGTAATAAAGCCTTTGGTTAAAGCTAAAGTGGTTTCTGAAGGCTTCATCAATAGTGTAGCCATTAATGACTACCAACCTGGAGGGTGCATTGTGTCACATATTGATCCTGCACACATATTTGATCGACCAATAATTTCTGTGTCTTTCATGAGTGACAGTGCTTTAAGTTTTGGCTGTAAATTTAGCTTCAAGCCTATCCGTGTCACAGATCCAGTTTTATGCTTACCAGTATGTAGAGGCTGTGTTACAATTCTAAGGTATTTGCACATATTATTGTTATTATACTAATTATTTGTGCATGTTTTTATTTGAGAAAATTAAAATAGAAGAGCTATATTAAAATAATCATTTAAAGTTTTGCACATAACTTTTAAAAATTTGAAGTGTTGGTACAGTTTAGTATAGATGCTTTTATTGTATGATCAGAAGCAATGTGAGTACGCTAGCGGGAAGAATTTAAAACTGCTATAAAAGGTGTGTTAATTCTGTGTTACTTCTGTTGACTGAATTTTATCTTCATTCTGCTGACTGCAGTCCAAAGAGTTTGGAATACTTTTTTGCTGTTGGGACCAGATTTAGTAATGTATGTGTGTGTATGCACATTTATGCACATACACATGTATGTACATACATGCAAAAATACATGCATACATTTCTGAATCTAGTCCCAATAAGAGAAAAATACCGAATTTAGTTAGTAGCTCAAAAGTTAACATAATCATGTTATCCAGTGGGTTTTACCTTTTCTCTATAGAAATCTGAATTTTTTTTTTTTTTTTTTTTTGAAAAGAATATATGGAGGCATTTCAAATTCTAATCTCAAAGACTGTGTGAGTAGCTATATAAAATGTTCATGTATGTAAGGTAGACCATGTCAATAAGCATATGCCAGATTTCGATGCCTAGCATGTGAGTTAGCGAAGAGAAGCAGGGCAGGCTCTGACACAGCTCTATAAAGGCCTAGAAGTAATCAAATGCATCATGTCTAGAATCTAAAAACACTGTTAATGCATGCGTCATTGCAGCCCTCACCTAGAGCTTTAAGGTGTTCATAGTAAATGCACTTTGTAACCACAGGAATTATTGAATAGTTGCTATCAGGGCTGACTGTACATGTTATTAATTTTTTTATTGTATCTATAAAAAGTAGTAACACAAGCTTTTCTTTACCCCGCTTTATATCGTATTTGCTATGCTGCATTTAAATTGATTATTTCCAAATATGGACGATTTTGTATTTCTTGAAGATAAGTCAGATATGACAAAATAAAGATCTTGTGCAAGGTTCAATTTCTTAACTGCAAAATCATTCAGTTGCATATTTTTAATAGTTGTTGCTTTAATTTTTCCAAGTAACATATGAGTTACTTGTAATATCCTATAACCCACAGAATATTTGTTTATGTACTTTGGAAGGGCTGTGTTTAATGCAGCATGTACTTCTAATATTGATTTGTGTTATGATTACCGTTTATTATACGATTCAGATCACGAAAGTGACTAAGAAATTAAAGAAGTAAGGTAATCTTAAAGGAACTCAAAGCAAATGTCATGATTCGATTAAAGCTGCCATCGTGACACAAGTCCATAAACATCTAAAAGTTAATATGAAAAGCCTTAAAAGACACTAGTGATGTATGCAGACAACAACTCAAGATTAAAAATAAACCACAAACAGCCTTTCAAGACAATTAATTTCTTTACAATTGCTAAAAGCTATAATAAATAACTGACATCAGCTCAGATTACAAGAGAGTTTGCTGCAGTTATAGGAATTAGAGTATGTCAATATACTATGAACGACAGGCTACATGCAAAGAAACCTATGATTTATATCAGATTAACTTGGACTGTGAAATGTGGGCAACTGTAGGATTGCAGTTTAACCCATTTCAAAATTTCAAACTCTTTTCAGTAGTATGGTAGTCACTGTAAAGGTCTGAGTATTCAATCAATTTTATTATGGCAGTAGAAAAAGCAAAATATTCTACTGTTTATAGATTCTTTTAATAACTCTTTTATAGTTATTAAAGGAGATGGTTGAAGGGCATCAAAATTAATAATTTAAATATATCGCATTTTTTTCATTGTACAGTGTTTTGGTATTATTTAAGAATAAAAAATTATGTAACATAATTTTATAACCCCCCAAAAGAAACGTAGTCATAAAAATAAATTTTGAATATTTTTTCTTGTGGGTGTTTGAAATGTATAGAAATATAATATTTAGCTTGCAGTTGTCTGATTTGTTTCCTGTATAAAAAATTTCATTAAAAATGTTGATATTTTTAGTGGGTATGCTGCTGATAACATAACACATTGCATACGTCCTCAAGATGTTAAAAAGCGGCGTGCAGTTATCATTTTGAGACGGTAAGGTGACTCATTATTATCTATTTGAAATTTTATTAGAATTGTAACTTCTGTTGAGTTCTCCCTCCTCCCAGAAAGAATGAAGGGGGAGGAATTCACTCACCTTAGTTTATTAATTTTCCTTTTATTAATAAATAAAATAGTTTTTGGCAATTGATAAAATTATATTTTATTGTTTTTCTGTTATATAAAATTAAAATTCTTTAAAGGAATTTCATTTTTCTAAATGTTACAGCCTTTTTAAAATGTAAACTGGTATAAATAGCAAGGTATCAAATCATTAAAATGTGCATTAGTGTTTGAATAAAATTAAAAAGAATTTTTTAAAAGACATTTAGTATCAATATATAGATCGCATTTGTCTGTATATAGTAGATGATTGCAGTTTGTACATTGATATAAAATGCTATCACCACTGGGTTTTATTTTTGATGTGAAAAATCATGTACAGAAAAAGTAGAGCTATAATTGTGCATTTGCTATATTACAGTCAAAAGTCGTTAATTCGGACACCTATAATCTGGACCCCAAAGCTAAAAACTTTCTGCGCATGCGCCGCGTTGACACGTGCGCATAGGCGTTTACGCGTGCGCGTAAGACCTTTACGACTGCGCATATGCGTGTGCGCAAGTGCAGAATATGTTTTCGTGTGAGCCTTTAATGTATAATGGATGGTGTAAGCTAAAATTATCTAATTATCTATTTCAATTAATGTTGATGATTGCGTTGTTCCTTAATCTTCTAATGGATCCGGCTTATTACTTTTTTCAGACTGTAAGAGCAATTTTATAAAAGTAAACTTGAACTTTCGATTATGTCAAATAGAATTTCCAGAATAGAATTTGGAGCGAGAGCTCCCAAAGGATCTGCAAAACAAAAGTATGTTTCGATGTCCATCAAACAAAAAGTGGAATTGCTGCAAAAAATGGATAAAGACATGAAGAAGGTGACAGAGAGGTTAGTGAAAACGAAAAAATTTCGATTGACAAGTTAGTCGGTATTCTCGGCACAGCAGTTAGGGGACTTGAACAGCGGAACTTTGTAACTGAACAAGAAATTATGTCTGTCTATAGAATTAAAGAGAAAGTATTATCACATAAACGAAGCAACTTAAAACAACTTACATTGAAAGAAATGTTTAATAAAGTAAACAAATAAATATTAAGCTTTTTTTTTTTTTGTAAATTTTGATACCCTTTAGATCATAATTGCTCTTTATTTCATAAATTACGGTTTCATATTTTTAATTTTAGAATTCTGCATGCCATCTTACGAGATTTAAACTGATGATCTATAATCCGGAAAAATCGATAATCCAGAATCGCAGAAGTCCCGATGAGTCCGGATTAATGACTTTTGACTGTATATGGTATTTTATTTATTTTGCAAATGGGATAAATATAATAAAATAATTTAAAATATTACAATAAAGTAATATTTTAGTATATCGAAGTGTTATCAAGAACCACGAATAATTTTTTTTTTTATGTGATTCAATTTATTGTATTGAAAAGCAACATATGATGTTGTTAAAGATAAATGAAGTATCTTAATGCTGTGTTATTTGGTTACAATTTATCATCATGTTTCTGATTATTATTCATGTAGGGCAAAAATTTGTTTGCTAACTCAAGAACATACTTCTGTTGAAAAGAAAAACTAGAAATTTGATCCCTTTCAGTTCTGAATGACAATAATGCCTAGAAATAGTTATATGCATTGACAAAATGGTTTTATTTTCCACATTAATATCATTGGGAACTATGGGTTTGTGGAGATCTCTTCAAATGAGATGACCAGGGAGAAATTGGCAATTTATTGTATTTAAGAAGAATGCGAAACAAAAATAATAGTTATTAGTAATTTTAGGAGAATGCATAGATTAGGCAAATCCTTAACACATGAGAGATATCATAGATTATTTTTGTCACTTACAGAGTAAACTGCCAAATGCAGTTCAGCTAATTCTTTGAACTGCAATCTTTCTGAAGTTACTCGGACTGAAAACTGACTTCATTGATGTCTATGTAAGCTTGCCTGACCTTCTGAAAGCTTCAAAGTAGCCAAGTTAGGTAGAAATTGACAAATTTCTCTTTCTTGGTAACAAAAGCTATCGCTAAGGTAAAGCTAATTGGGAGAGGTTCTGTTATACATCAGAATTACCAGATGTACATTTCTATGCAAGAACTAAGCACTTATATACAAAATATGTGGCCACAAATTCAGTTTAAAAAACTGCTCTCGAAAACCATTACCTATTACTCGAAAAACAAGACATAACATTGTAACAACACACAAAAGGATTAATATGATCAAATATAAAAATTGACAACAATATGTTAAACACAGAAGCACCAGAACAGGCAACTTAATTTATTATATCATAGCATGTTATACTAGTATATGTTTAAAGTATTAGAATGCTGTTATCTATGTTTCTATTTTTAAATAGTAAGAGAATTTTTATTATTCAGAAAAATTAAAGAAGTAACAAACTTATTATTTCATAAGAGTTTGATTATTGGGCTGTTACAGTCTCGTACTTTAAACAGTCAGTTTTTAGTAAGTGAATAATGTTAGGTTTAATTTAGTTTTGCTGTTAATCTAATATTCGGTAAATGTTCTGTACTGTTTCCTTTAATTATAAGTATTCATATGGTATTACATTCAACGGTATTGCATATAAAATTTTAAGTAGCATATACTTGAACATTAGTAGGTACTTTCTGATTGTCAGCAACCCTACCTAAAATATCTGAATTGCTTGGCAACTTTAGAGAGCATGTGTGAACTCATAGGTGACTATTTTTTCTCCAAGTTAATGTGTGAAAGGCTACAGCCATTTTTGAAATGGAGACACACTAAGAACTGCATATTAGAGCAATCAATTAAATATAAAAAACAAGGAACATTGGTAATAAAACACTTATTTTTTGTAGAAAATCCTTTTTTTGTGCTGTTGTTCTGCTAATGTATACAGCAGTCTGTTTTTGCTTAAAAAAAGAAATCTCCAGAAAATTGTGGAAATGGGTCATCTGTACAACTTTGGCATTGCACACTGACCAAAACAGGCATGTGCTACCACGTAATTTATTTTATATAAGGGGTTGTAACATAACTATTTTGGAAACATACTGCTTTACTTATGAATCTTTTTCACGACTTTTAGGCAGGGGTGCAGATAATTGGAATGCACCAAATATTATAATATTATATATTAAAGTGTTGCCTTTGTTTTGTTGCATTGTTGAAGTTCTCTCAAAAAAAAATATATAGCAGTTGTTTTTTATCACAAATGTTTCATCTAATTATAAATATTCATGTGTTATTAAAAGTTTAATTTGTGTATATTAGAATATTACTATCAGGTTTACCTGTTTTGTTGCATTATTGAAGTTCTTTTTTATGTGATAATTGTTTCTGAACACAATTATTTAATTCATATGGGATAGTTTTGGAAAAAGAAGAGGGAGAGTCATGTTTATTAAAAATGCACCAAACATTAGTGCATGTTTGAATAAAACTTATAATAAGAACTCAAATGTATTAAATTTTAAATGTAAGAAAAGTACATAACATGAAGATAATAAGACAAAAAGTATGATATAGAAAAAAATGTGTAGTTATTGTCGAGACCAATGTGCAATGCCAAAGTTGTTTGACATACTGAAAATTTTGAGTTATTTTCTAAAATAGCACAGTAAGAGAAATTTTTACAGCTTCAGGCCAGACGTAATGAGACTTTTTTGGACATTTCAGATCAAAAACAAAAATTTTTAGACTTAAATAAATAAATAAATAAATAAAAATAAAAAGTAAATAAATAAAATTTAAAAAAATAAATAAATACAGAATAAATAAATCTGAAGCCTTCGGATTTCTTATTACGCCCAAAAGGACATTTTTTTTAGCATTTTGTGTTTTACCATTATTTGTTAAATATCATGTTCTTTGCACTTAAACCGCATAAAATTCAATTCAACAGCAATATCACAAAATGTTTAAAAACAGCATATTTTTAGAATTTCCGATACATAGTCTCGCGTGCTGCATATAAAAAGGTTTTTTTTTTCATTCAGTGCTGCCGTTGCTCGCTTTGAAATTGTTGAGTTTGCTAATAAAAAATTCATTAAAATTTTACAAAATTTGAAATAGATAATAAAACAAATTCAAAATTCGGGTTTCAGTTGGAGAGCTATGTTATTCAAAATTTGATGGCTCTAGGTACCATTGTTTTTGACAGTGTGAGTAGCATTCATTATTTATTTAGTTTAAATAGTTCTTCATTATTTAGTTTCTTTAAATATAATACATATCAATAACATCTGGTTGTTACAATTTGAAAAGTGAGGCAACACAGAAAGTGAAATGACACGAAATGCCATTTTGAGACTAATAACCCTATGGGTCTAATGTCTTTTTGGTCTCAGAAAGGAAGTAGATTAAAGCAAGTAATTTCTTTGACATTTTTTGAAGTTAAGTGAGAGGCACATAAAATGAAATAAGGATAAAAGGTACAGTAACAAACAAATAATGTTTTTAGATTTTTCATACATGTGTTGTACAATGGATACCTTTAAAACTGTGTATGCTGTTATGTTAGTTTTGTATTTTTGATTATCAGCACCCTACAAAAAGTTTCTATTTCATTAGCAGCTTTGTGAATTAGGAAAAGCATTTGTTTGTTAGCTTTATGGAGTAACTTGAAACAAGACAGTTCTATTGATTGTTGAAATTGGGAGTGCAGTATCAATTTGAGTGAAAATAATCGGAAAGTACCGTGCACCTTTTTGCAAAATATATGCATTTATTACTGCCGTATCCATTACACAGTTTTGTTATTCTGAAAATTTCAAATGTTTTACTTCTTAAGTCAAGAAAACCTTCATCATATGATATTTTAGTTGTTCATTAGTTTCATCATCATTATCAATCTTGTGCTGTATTCATAGCATTGTCAATTTGTTTGATAGTCTTCAAGTTCGTTAAAATATGCCATC